ATGCACATCTTTTGTTAAATAATGGAGTAAAATACTTCCATGGTGAAAAAGCTGCAGAGCCTGCAGCAAAATTCAGTTTTGTTTGGTGATGGGTCGTCACTCTCTTTGCAGTTCAACAGAAGGCTGCCTGTGTGCTCACCCGCCGGCTGGTCTCTCCCTGCCTTGTCCAAATAGCCCGTTTCTACTTGGGTTCCAAACCCTCCTTGTGTTCCCACACTCAGTCTCTAAACACACTCCAATGCTTGAGAGCTCAGCTGTGAATTCTCTAGAACTGCTTAGTCCAGTTTTGCAGCCCCTAGCCACATTTGGGGTCTTTAGTAATTTGATCTAAATTTCAGTGGCACACTCCACATTTCAAAAGGGCAACGGTCACATGTGTTCACGGCTGCCATCTTGAGGTATTGATCTGGGTCACTCCTATTAGCGACACACCTGCCAACACATTGCACGTGGGCTTCGGGCAGCCGAGCTCTGGGGGCCGGCCTGGCCAGCTGGGCCCTCTATTTGCTCTGACTACATTGGGACAGATTCCTTGATGAGGACCAGTTTGAACTGGTTAATTTTCTGCCAAAACCACAATTTAGGTAAAGTTTATGAGGTCTTTTCTGGACTATTAGAAAAAGATATTACCCTTATAAAATGCTTTCCTTTCATATGCTAGAACATTGTGTGAAATTACTAACTATAGAAAAGGCAATTATACGGCCAGGAATTTATTATAAACACACAAGTCCTTCAATATTATTTCCTGGTCTCCTGTAAGCTGCCTGTATCAATTGGGAACTGGCAGAATGAAAGGGGAATTAGGGAGGCATTTAAAAACGGTCGCACAGAGGACCTCACGGAGTCTGTGGGTGCCTTGAGATTCCAAGCTAGCAATTGTGGAGAACATGTGTCTTTCTATGGAGAGCCAACCTAGTCTCCAGAATTCTCAGCCTTGTGCAGACCTCAAAGAGGTTGCCATCAGCTGCTTTAGGGGACCGTCAGCCTGAATGGGGCCCACCCGCCTCAGGCCATCAGGCCGTGGTCAGGCTGCCTTCCAAGTGCTAACCGCCTTCTCCGCTCTCAGTGCTGACCGTGAGGACCGCCATCCCCATTATCATGGGGGCCAACATCGGGACCTCCATCACCAACACCATCGTGGCGCTCATGCAGGCGGGAGACCGCAATGAGTTCCGGAGGTAGGAGGTCGGC